TTGCTGTCAGTGGCGAAATGAGAATGAAAAGATGTGTCCTCCTGTTAGTCACTGGCAGGTCATTCTTGACTTTGGAAAAAGCAGTTGACCAAACTAAGTTTTGACTTAATTGGTTGTTCTGGATTTTTCCACCATATCCCACAGTCTTTATCAGCAGATGATGCCAACAAGGAGTCGTAAATGTTCAGAATAATAGTTTGAACATCTACATTTCTTCAACTACTGACCAAACTTTACTTGCAATTAAAGTTGATAATAAGTGCAGTACAAAGGTAGGTTTGATGTGTTTAGCCTCGCTAAGATTTAAGAAGTTACGCTGAAAACAGAAGGTAATTTTTTTTTATTCACTTTTAGTACAGCCATCTACTTGGACATTAGGTCTTCTGCCAAAAGCTAACACCACTGAAGTTAACCGAGTGCTCCTCGGTCAACTAGTTTTATCAAAACAGATTGAAGGAAATAGATGTTTCAAAAAAGAGCTAGCTAGCTTTGTGTTCTTGTTAGCTGTAAGTCATATCTTTATACAGTGTTAAGATACTAAAGCCCGGAGATTTATCCACCAGAAAAGTCCCTAAGAAGAAGAAGAAAGATTTTCTAAATCCTAAGCGGCTTTTGTCGTGACTGTATGAGAAAAACACTGTTAACACATTCGAAATAGTAATCCCTACGAAAATCACTGGACAAGGAAAAATGGACTGCTTCACGATTTTTAGAAAAACTTATCTGAGTTTTCCTCTAATTCATATGATACAGAGACAATAGTGTATGGGGGCTAAGCTGTTGGCCTTATCATCAGTAAACCAGGTATAAACAGATACAGTATGTAGTACTTCTGTTAAGATCTCATGATATCATTGTCAGCCATCATTGGACTGGTAGCTAAGAACTCTGTAATGTTACTACATTTATAAACTATGGATGTCACAAGAGTTTTACAAAAATGAATAAATCCTAAATATGATTGACATACAGGAGAAAATGTTCAAACAAAATTCTGTTTGTTTCCAGTGTTAAGTGCTATGTAGGCTTGCTGTCCAATTGACCCAGTGACCATTCAAGTGTTTTCATTCCCAACGTTATGCCAAGTTCACAGAGAGTCAGATGATATAGGGTAGTATTGAGAGAAGCACACTTTGCTGTTAAGTGATACTTATTGTTCTCTCAGTCTCAATCTGCTGTCGGTGTTAGTAATCAGCTATTTTCCACCTCTGTGTCAATGACCGTACAAGAGGAAATCAACCCACACAGAGATGAGAGGTGATGATTCAGCCATTCATCTTTTATTCAAGAGTCTGTCCGTTTAGTTCAGGTTTTCTGGCTAGTGGCTGCATATTTTGCAACTATGATTGATGGCCAACCTCTTTTAATGTCCAGCTTGATTGAGTTCATTCCGTACTGGTTGATGGAGACTATTTTAACCTCATTTCTTTAATTTGTATCACTTTTAGTTTTGGATCAAGTACTGTCATCTGCATAGAAACCATCAGGAATATATTCAATACATGCTTGTTCTTGTTTACATTTGAATGGAACATCATTTATCTTAATGGTGGTTGTTTGTAGGTTAAAATCTGGACAAAAAAAAAATTGTCGAACACCAGAAAGCACCAGACCTCAGAAGTAGTGTTTTCAACCTTGGGGTCCGGGCCCCCGAATGTGGTAGCAAGATACATCTGAGAAGTCACAAGATGATTAACAAGACAGCAAAGAAGAGAAATATCTCTGCTACACTGAACTCATTTTTCAAATCCTTTCTTTTTTCTTGTGAAATGCTAGAGATTATAACTACTGGAGGACTCTAAACTATTTAAAATGAAACAATCTGAGAAGAGAGCTTCACTGTTTGCTTGAACTGCTCACAGCTGAGAGGCATAATGCAACGTGTGTCAAAAAGTGATGAGTAGGCATGGCTTAGCTGTTCACAAGCCCAAAAAAAAGCTGATAATAAGGTCACCAAAGTAAATTGATGGAATAATCTGTACAGTCTAAATTTACAGTTTGACTCAACAGATGTGGATCACTGAGATAAGCTGCTTGTTGTTTCTATCCGCTCTCCTTTCCAGTCTTTGTTTCTATTTGCATTTAATTTCCATTGAGAAACAACATAAAGTTGACCTACAGTAACCAACATGCTGCAAGTTAACAAGAATATTTCATAAGGAAGGTGACAGGCCACTTGCAAAATGGGATAATAGGAATATAGGAATATAGGAATAGGAATAATGCCACACCACATTTACACTTTAGTGCAGTGTAACAACAGAAGAAGAACCACTAAAAAACTCAAAGCAACTTGTCTTTCTTGAAACAGTCTCACACTGTGAACATTTTTCACTGGAACTATGTTCTGCCCAAAAAATAATCCTAAAAGGGATTTGGTTTCAGGATTTCTGGCAGGGGTAAACATGTTCTTCAATGGAGCCAATGAGAAAACAAATCTACATGAAGTGGGAGACATATGGTACCAAATTTGTGGGAAATGTAGCCCCAATCTCCAGAATCACAGAGGCTATACTGTAAATAAGCCAAACCACAGTCTCGCGTTGGTAATTGACTATTCGGTAAGTTGCTGTATGCAGTTTACAATGATAACTGTGGCAGATTTACCACTCAAAATTCGGAGTAATTTTTGAAACAATAAGTCACTGATTTCAGACTAAGATAGCAGGCTGAAACAAACAGCAAGCTGTAGCTAGGTAAGATAATGCTAGTTCCATGAAACGCAGTCTCCCACTGCTGTTCTTGTTTGTTTCACAAGCTCAATGGCTTGATCATGACACTGTGAATGCTGATGTAGTTCTGCATTCTCTGAACTTTCTCATGTTCCTGATGAAACTACCGTTCAACCAAGCGTTCAACATTAAAGGCGTTGTCCGCTGAGAACTCCCTGACCTTGCACATGCATCTACTGCAGCTCCTGTAGTCCGTGTGTGGAAAGTTTGAAATAAACTCACTTCAGCATTCTCTTAACCACAAACAAAATGGTCAGACCCCTGAGGGAATCCTGAAAAGCACCCACATTAACACCCCCACCCAAACACACACACACACACACACACACACACACACACACACACACACACACACACACACACACACACACACACAAGCACTGTCTTTGCTTGGTATCAGTATATATAGAAACGTCCTAAGTAATTTCCTGTTTCCTGTAATGCTATTACATGCACTGTTCTTAGTCGAAGAATGTTTCAATTTCTATGTGCACATTTTCTGAAATATGTCGAAAGCTATGATAAAACCCCAATTGAGACACATGTTCTGAATGTGCTGTATGCGTGTCCAAATACTGCTCCTGAAACCTGAATAATATCAGCATATGTAGGGTCTTCATCGGAAGATGCTACATTAAAAAAAAAGGCCTATTTTGGAACATCCAAATGTTTATGCTTTTGACATGACCTGTATCGAATTAGGAATATTGTCATATTCGGAATAATAGTGGAATATTAGTGTCCATTTAAACGTAGTCAACACAGCAGCTATAGAACAACCATGCCCCTCCATTCCTTCTGTACCTTTAATACAGAACAGCAGGGCGAAATAGTGGCACCACAGTCCCACCTGAAACATATTGGGTGAAAGGGGGTAGCGAATGTGTTCGTCGGTCTAAGTCATTTTTGATTCCCATCCTTTTCAGTCTCTTCTTTCAAGGTTCCAAAATAGATAATTACATGTCTATGGCAAATTGTCTTGCATGTTTCTGTTATAACTATTGAGTATCAAGGATATGGCTGTATATTTATGTGTACACACATAATGAACCCTATATTTTGTATTTATAATGCAGCAAAGTGTCATCCCAATAATGCACATGACCGTATTCATTTATAAAAGCACTGCAAGGCTATTGGTTTTGCTTTCATACCATCGTTGCAATCTTTCAAAAACAGTTGACAACAGTATACCTATTATGACATATATGTTGTTTATAGACGAATGGAGTGTTGAGAAGTTTGAAAGACAGCTGTATTGGATATTGTTTATGGCTTTGAAAGACGTGCTTGGACTTTGATAGTATAACCAGACTACGGTTTCCGACTGAGGAAATGGTCAGTGGATCATGCATTTTTCCATCATTTTGACCTTTTCAAGTTATCTTTTTGCACAATTTAGGATTGTATAATTACTTGTCATTTGTGTCAGTTGCATCAAATAGTTCATTTCACAATTGTATGAACCCTCCGTCCACAGAAATTCCCCTTGCTTTAAGGCTTAAGCCCTGCTATTAATAACTTGTCATTCCATGGCAGTCAGCTCTGAGCCGTTCGGCTGGCAGTACACTTCAACCTTAAGGAAGCCCAACTCTACTTGAGGACTTTGGAGCAGACCTTGGCCTCTGCACAGAGAAACACAGAAGAACGAGAGACAGCTGTGTATGTACACCACAGAGTGGAGGCACACTCGGACACAGACACCTGCCTCAAATCAGAACCTTAATCACAGCAATTGTCTCAAAGCAAAAATGTGAAGTCCCTCTATATCCCACACCAAAACACACACAAAACCAGTCAGTTTCAATTAGTGTGATGGTGCTGATATACGTGTACCCATGTTATAAGACAAATATCTATTTAGTGAATTAATAAATACCTGAAAATTTAAGGAACAGCTTCAATTTCTATATTATTTCCTACAAATGGAGATATTCAAAGAATAGCTGCCTCAGTAGAAATGGTCTGGAATGTATTTTGTATTTTGTCTCACGGTTTATGGATGGACATACCCACCCTTTATTAACGCCATGTTTGCAGGCCCCTGTCCACCTCTGGGCTCAGTGTGTCTCAGTGTATCTAGACAGAAACTGGAATTTTACAGCTGTGAGTCAGGGTCAACAGTAACTGAAGCAGCTGCAGTCATCTGTATGCTTACCCAAAGGAATTTAGATGCGTGCACCAGCAGGCCCTCAGCGTCACAGGTATCGCACCTTCCCTGCAAGGGTAAAGGCATGTAGGGAACAGTGCTGTTTAGAGACACCATAACAGACCACTGTAACTCCTTACAGGACATTCCCAGGAATGTGAAAATGCCAAAATTTCGTTTTTCAAAGATTCGTTTCCATGAAATTAAGGAGCTGATGCAAAATGTGAAGCAGCCCAGAAGGTAAGCAAGAGCGAGTAATAGTTTGAGCGAGCTGGACAGGCTTACTTTTTTTTTTACACTGTAAAATTGTGTAAAAGTTTAACTTCATTTGTTTTGCAGACCTGATATTGTTCTTAATCGAAGTGGGCGTAAACGACAAAGAATAAATGATGAGACATATCCTTCAAAACTCAGGTAGTGTACGTGACACTATTATAGATATCTTTATTTTCCGGCTGTTCAGTAGATGAAAGTTAAGTCTGAAATATCTCTTTATTACAGATGGCAGACTGATCATAAACTCCAACCGACTATGGAAAAAATGCTACATGATAAAAGTAACGCGTTACAAAATGTTGTGCTTGTTTTGAGATAATAAAATGCACGATGAACATTAATCTCTGTTTCGAAAACTAAATTTAGCCTCATAAACTTTCTCATGATATCTAAACAGTGAATCATTTAAATATCTTCCTCTTTACAGAATATTTAGCAGCATTCCGCAGCTTCCTGCAGTCCGAGTTCAGCGACGAAAACATTGAGTTCTGGCTCGCATGTGAAGACTTTAAGTCAACTGCTTCACCGGAAGACCTTCACTGGAAGGCAGAGGGGATCTACCAGGAGTTCATCCAGCCTTTGGCCTCCAGAGAGGTCAGTGATAACAAGGGTAGATGGTTCATGGTTGAAAGAGACAGAGCTGGATGAATAGCCAGCAGACAATAAAAAATATACTGTAAACTATTCTTCGCTTTTAGCACACTTAAATATGATAAATAAAAACCTAAATATACACTACAAAAGCCCACATGTGTATTCCAGAACAGGGGAAAGTATCATTGCATCTACTAAATGTCACAACTGTTACTGCGAGTGTTGGTCACTGAGGTGAAGATGCATTCTCTGGGGTGGGGTTTTGTTCAGAGCGTTTGATGAAATCTGAATCCAGTAGAAAAAAAGGAGATAATTCTACGCTCATTCACAGTGAAGTACTGCACTACTACACTTCTTTACAAACACACACAGAAGACACAAGACGGGTTAATATCACACACAGTCGTGTTTTCATGACTTTTCGGGACATCGTATTGACTCAAATTCATTTCCTGGAGATTTATCCGAAGTAAGTCTGAACCCTAAAATGTAATGATTGACTCTGTAGTCAGATTTATATCCACACAAGATAAACACGCCCACACAGGCAGAGTGTGTCTTTAGCCGGCTGCAACTGTTTTCAGAGGTCTGACACGGAGACAGACCTCTCTGTAATGTCATCTTTTGTCAAATGTCAAAAGTCCAGTTTGTAGCAAAGGGAATTGTTCCCACTTCAATACTTTCCAACATATTAGGTTTTCATGAGGTCAGAAGGAAAGGAAAAAAGCAAGTGTAGTCATTATTGTTACACATACAGTCAGGAAGCAAAGCCAAGTTTGACAAAACACCTGCGCTCTGCTGCTACGGTAGTATCCCATCAAACCGTCATCCATTTCAAGACCTGCCATGATACTCGGCTGGACTCTGGATGAGAAAAACTTTAAGGCCCCCCTTTTAAACATATTGCTTCCAGTGCCTCTCGGCGTTCTCTGATCGCCCCCTGGGGGGATGTTAAAAAATACTAGTTTGGAGGGTCTTGTTTTCTAGTTGTTTGAATCACATTGTTGAAGTGTACCACAGGTATTTGGCAGATAGATTCGGTGCAAATCCCACTGTATTCAACACAATTTAGAAGTTTTCTCTTTGTTTCTTCTCTAGATCAATGTTGATCACCACATTAAAGAGAAGATCAAGAAGTCTTTGGAGAAGCCGAGCCTCTCCTGCTTCGATGAGGCCCAGAAACACGTTTACCTGCTGATGGAAAGAGACTCTTGGCCCAGATTTCTCAACTCGGATGCCTACCTGAGTCTAAAGTACAAATCCAGGACTCGTTGGTACATTTAGCTCAGAACAAAGTATCAAAACTGCTTTTCTAATCGCCACGTTTTGTGTTTTTTTGCCATTTGGCTGAATGGAAAAGTTATTTCACACTGTATAAGAAGCTTGGATCAAAACCACTCTTTTAAGGGCAGAAAATCTCTTTATATGAAATGTTTTCAACCATGTGCAATTTCAACTTTTTATATGATGGTAAGATGATGTTTTGATGAAATGTTGTGGAAAATGATAAAGCAGGAAAAGGAAAAAGTAATGTGAGTGTGGGGGGGGGGGTGGTATATGTACGTAGGGAGGAGCAAATGCTGTTGGTATGAGTCAGTACTTTAGATGATGGTGCAGAGTTTGGAGTTGTTTGAAATACTGTAAGTGTTGACGAAAAGTCTAAAGGAGTTAAGGTGCAGAGTACAGCATGATAAATAAAGGGTTTCTGACATGTAAAACTAAAATGACCTGGTGTCTCATTATTGTGCATTTTACAAAGTCATGACTTCTTGACCATCTTTGGATACATTTCACGAGATGAGTAGTTGTCACTCAACATCTATAACTATTCTTACTATAACTATTTTCCATGTCGTAAGAAGCTTCAGACAAAGATATAAATTCATCTGACTCCAATCTAACTGGACTGGGGATAGGCATGAGTCAAAGAAAGGAAAAAAAAAAAGAGAACAGTTTCCACAGCTCCCCCAGCAAGGAGATTCTGTCTTTGGTCACATGTCTGATATATCCTTTAATTAGGTGCAGCGATGACTCCACACACCAGCAGAAGGGTTTACCAAACTGGAAAAAAGTAAACCCAGGGTAACCCTTGATCTCGCTCTGTTCTGTAAATGGCCTTATTCTTAAAAATTGTGCCTTAAAAAGGAGTACTGAGGCAGCTAATAATAACCCGGGGGGCTTAAACGACAGCACTGGAGTCATCAGACAACCTGATGCGTAACAGATCAGGCTGAATGTGCTGCCTTGTTAGGGGAAGAACCTCATCGCCCACAGACAATGATGGCAGAGAGTGCTTTACTTCGAGTAATTTACTTCGAGAGTGCTTTTACTTCGAGTACACTTCTTATTTCTCGAAGTGCTTTACTTCGAGAAATAAGAAGTGTACTTTGGGAGAGGATGATATTGTTCAAATAAAAGCGGAGAATATATTTCAGATTCAAGATTAATGTCTTACGAGTGAAGCTTGTTTGTCAAAAAGAAAATGGGAAATATGAATTGTTGTCATTCTCATTTTGTGCCCATTAAACCCTCGCTGCATGACTCCAGACTTTCGCGAAATAAAAAATATATTTGGAGCATAAGAAAGCACTGCATGCTATTATTCAAAAGTTTAAAAGTGTGGAGAAGAGGAAGTATTAGGAGGACTTTTAGCTACATGTTATGTTTAAAACTATAAAACATCTTTACTAACCTGATGAATACATGATGAAAAAGTTTATTGATTCTATAGTTGCATTGAGCGGACATTGTATCGCAAGAGCAGGCGTTGTGAAAATGTGCTGATACATTCAGTATTGTGATGTGTCAGATCAGTTTTTAAACAAAACGCCCTAACAAGTATCTGCTGTTGTATTTAAGCAGTATATGAAAATACATTTTTTTTTGGGCTGCTGACAAACTATTTGTAAGTATCACAATAAACAGCTTCATGAGTTATTTCCATGTCAAACGTCAGTAACTCTGAGTACACTGGGATGTCGGGGGTTGTTCCTGATAAGTGACAAAGGTCTCACATCTTCATATCGCATCACATGGCGCTTCACACACAATCTGTCACTGCTTTCTCATAGCCCGACACAGTTACCATGGTAGTGAAAAGCAAGTGAGTATTGTCGACGGCACGGTGTCAAGACAGACACACTCGGGGAACTTCACTACCAGATCTGGATGCCACAGGCTGATGACGTTAACTGCTTTGTTCCTCATTATACCTGTTACTGTATACAGGATCAAATATAAAGGGAAAGCTCTCTGTTCACAGTGTTTGTTGATTCTTCGTAACGTTTCGGTACTAAGAACCGTGTTTGGGCAAAAGAGGGAGAGTAGCATCAAGGAAGCCAAGCCTAAGGGCAGATTGTAACGGAATAGCCTGGGGCATCAGATGGTGAGCAGGAGCAGCTGGTAATAGGCTAAGAAAACAGACGCATTCAGTCAGGTTTATGATATCGCAGAACTCCTGTGAGGTATTTTTAATTACCGTCTGAATCCTATTTCTTTCCTTTCGGACTCTGCTCCCTATTATAACTTGTATTCACAGGGAAATGAAACATAACAGAACGCTGGCTGGTAACACTAAAGTACATTTGCTCTGCTGTTTGTCAAGTAACTCTTTGGGTAAAAAATAGGACATTTATTTTGGAAACATTACGATAAATTGCTGTTATGGATGAGCAGGATAATGCATCTCACATGAAAGTGTACATTTGTCCGATGTGAAAACAGAGGGAGATGGTGTGACTCCCACTTCAAACTTCTAGCCAAAGCTTAGCGTGGAGCGAGGAGACATGTCTATAACACTCAACTTACCCTAGCAGCTTTATAACAGATATTTGCACCAAGAGACTGAACCTCTGGTGGAGAAGTATTATGTGGTACTCCTGAGTAGAACGAAACAAAAAGCTAACAGCACAGCTTTAGATTCTCAGGCCTCTAGTCAGGCCAACAAAACTATCAAAATTTCTTGACAACAACAACCCGTTTTTTTTGCATTTCTAACATAGTTGCAATTGGACTAAGACAGATTTTTGGTGGACAGGTCAGGATTTTTTAAAACCCGCACTCACTGGACCCGTTATGAGAGTCAATCTGCACCACCCCAACCTGCACAAATGTGAGTTTTACCTTTTAGTTTTATGCATTAGTGGCACAATTGTCAGGACTGGGCCAAGGACAGACACAAGGACTAAGCACACCAAGTGTGTGTGTGTGTGTGTGTGTGTGTGTCTGCGCCGCTGTGTGTGTGTGTTTGAGAGAGAGAGAGTGATGGAGGGGAAGAGAAGGTGGAGGATGGACTACTTCCCGCAGTGTTTCTCTAAGTTATTACTTGCCTAGGTAAGCTTATCCGAACCCGACCAACGTACGGGTTGTGAGTCAACCCGCGCATCACTACTGGGCGCCATGTTGGCTCAATGGTGATCTGCGCTGCTTATATCCATCACCTAACTCAAAGCTAACTTCAATCCTCATCATGATACATTGGAAAAGAACAGTGTTTCCAGTTTAAGGAGTCAGCAATCAAAGTCAGAGTTGATTGACAGCTTTGGACAATTTCTTCGACTTTCTGAAGCTGACTATTTGACACTAGCTAGGAGTGTGGAGGTGTGAAAGTCGGCTGGGTTTGAACTTTTCTCTCAAGCTTTCTTTAAATTCCTCACACATCTACTTCCATCACTTGTCGTGTACAATGCAATACTTTGAATGCCTGCAAGGAGAGACTGTCAGAAAGTGTGTCGTTTAAAAAATTTGGCCGAGTCTCGCGTCTCGTCGCTCTTCATGAGAGCAGTGTGAGTGTGGCCATTCTGAAATGCCATATAGACGCGGCTGGACAGCACTTCATACAAACTAGTTTGGTTCAAGCATGCCCTCTCCTTTAAGATAATATCTACGGTAAATATATTCCCACAACGCTTTCTTCAGTTTCAATCATCTGCAGCAGCCTCTACTTTCAACGCCAGACAAAATATGTCAAAAGAGCTGCACTGATTTCAAGGATATGTACAAGGTCAAGGGTCAGTGCTACAAGCGCTAATTTCAGCTAATGCTAGTCAATCGCCAAGAAACTGTCCAGTCCACTACAAGTTCTCAGACCACAACTAAATTTTTGGCCAAGGCTGGTTATTTCTCTTCACTCCTGTCTGTTGAAGAACTAACAGACTCGGATGTAAAAGGCTGTGGTCTGTCAAATGTGTTTGAGTCAGTGTTGACATTGGAATTGGGATCCATGTTCATTATTGTAGTAGTTGACTGTGTTGGCCATCCCTTTCCTTATGTCACATTTTCCCACAATTTCTTCAATTTGAGGTGATTTAGCCTTACCGAATAAGTCTAAATGTCAATGTGAGGGTTGGCAACATGTCCTCCCTTTTGAGGGTTTTCAAAAGCCTTTCAATACTTGTGAGGATATTTATTTCTCATAAATATGACAATATTTATATACTATACATATATTCAAATATAAATACACACAGATGTGCATGTTTTGCCCTCCATATATGGATTTCTGTCTACAGTTTTGACCATGTAGGAAGGTTTTGACAGTAACTTTGTGGCTGAAACAAGAGTGTAGCCATGATGTGACGTTCTGACAATGTCTTGGGACTTCCTGCCGTCAACTCCATCTGTTGCAATCAATATGCAATTTCCTCTTTCGCGCATACGACTCTACCCTCGTGTTGCATGAATTTACGTCACGTTTTTGAATTTCCGTTCGAGGGTTCAGTAAATGTTAAAGTTGGTGTTTTGTCAAAACAGACATGAACTCCATGTTGGAGACAGAAAAGCAATCCTTCCATTTGTTTTCAATCAGCTTCCCTTTTCAGTTCCGTTTCAGAGGGCTACCAAAACACACCGTTTGCGAAGGTCACAATTTGCCTATCACAGTACAATGTTACTGTCATTTGCATCTGTTCTGCCGGACTAAAAATAATGTGAACACAGCATGCTCTGTCTGTTTGGCTAATCCAGTCAGAAGGAGGGAAGGATGTGCAGGAAAGGAAAGCAGAGAGACATAATAGGCAGTAAGACAAGAGGGGGGAGGCAAACATGCAGTACAGTGTGAGTATGTGTCGTTTCTAACAGTGAGGTAGGAGGAGAGGAGGAGGAAGAGGAAGAGGAGGAGGAGGAAAAAGGGGTGCTTCCTCTTCAGCTTGGGCTAAGCTGCTGATGTATCCTAGAAGCCCCGGTCCGTAGCAACAGGAAACCTTGGTATAAAAACCCGCGTCGCAGGGGGAACCCTCCTAAGTGTCTCTCAGCCGCAGCATGACCAGGACCGAGAGCCTGAGAGTGTGGACTTAACAAGACAATGCCCAGCCTAATCGTCGAACCACCCAACACACAACACTTCATCATGGACAGAGATGACAGGAAGAGAAACAAGAACCTGTGAGTGAAACGTTCATCTTAACGCCGAGCTGGGGGTTTCCAGTGAATATGCTGACTTTGGGGCTCAATGAGAAATAGTTTCTGTCTCTATTTACTTTCAAATGTATTTGCAAAGTGATTCTTGTTTTATTTGGTTCTCACGCCAAACCTTTCAGACACAAGAGCACATTTAGGAATATTATGGGTGCTTTATGGTATCTCCTGAAAATAGCTTAAGTAAATAATCTCATCTAACTTTACTCCACCACATGCTCCATTCTGATTACTAACATGGCCAACATGCTTTGACGGATCCACTGGAAACTAATTTAACAGCAGTAAATCTAACAAGGATGTATTGACGCATTTCTTATCTCTACACAGCGGAAAGAACTTTATGTGCCGACTCCAGTGCATGTTCTCACACTCATCAAGCTCTGAGAGGTAAGGGGACTTATGGAGTGTTTTGCATACATTTCAGTTTTAAAATAGCCAGCCCGCTCCCATCATTTCCATCTATGGCATCATGAAAGGATTCAAATGAACTAGAGACTCCATGTTTGCTTTGGCACAGCACGCACAGCACGCCAACATATCCCATGGTTTGACATTGCTGTACGAATTTGATAATGACATCTGCTATGCTTTCTTGATTAGACTGCTTCTTCTGTGTCCTTGCAGCACCCTCGCAGTTCACCCAGGCTTTATTTTACCCAAATTTGATTTTGTTTGAGGAATCTAACTTGCATTCTCTCCCAGCAGGCTAAGTTTAGAAGATACCCAACAATGGTCACAGTCACTGGAAAGGCTTCTCGAGTCTAAATGTAGGTTGCTTTTCCTCTGAGTTTGAGAATACCGCTAGAACAGTAAATTATGTTAATTAGAATGAGAGTTCAAGTTTTTTTTTTCTGGGTGTTATCTGTGCCTCACGCTGGCTGCGCTTTCTGTGCTTTCCTCAGATGGGTTGGCCACTTTTCGCAACTTTCTGAAATCTGAATACAGCGATGAGAATATTGAGTTCTGGCTCACTTGTGAGGACTACAAGAAGATCAAGTCTTCATTCAGAATGTCCTCAAGAGCCAAGAAGATTTATGAGCAGTTTATCAAAGCAGAATCTCCTAAAGAGGTAAATCCAACTTGGAAATATCCACACATTCATGCACAGACCCCCTTACATGCACTTCCGTAATAAATACTGTTGTATCAGATTATATGAGAAAAGTGCCTGCTCACATGTTGAGCTTAAAATGTCTTGCTCTTGGCTTAAATCCCCTCGTTCCTATCTGCCTCATTCCAGATCAACATTGACTACCACACCCGAGAGCAGATCAAAAGGAATGTCAAGACTCCCACCATGCACTGCTTTGACGACGCTCAGAAGATAGTTTATGGGCTGATGGAAAGAGACTCGTACCCGCGGTTCCTCCGCTCAGACATTTATAGAACTCTCCTGGAAAACCTTGCAGCAGACGCCACGAAGGGATGAAAGCGCAGTCAGGGGGAGAGAGAGAGAGAGAGAGAGAGAGAGAGAGAGAGAGAGAGGACATAAAACCCATAACTGGAATGTTTGAGCTCCTTCAGAAGGAAGGACCGACAAAAAAAAAGGAAGGAGTGTCTGCCGCACGCCACACGGACACCTACAGAGGCCTCGCACCTCGCGGTCGTCACTCGATCCAGCCGCAAACTGTGCCTCAGTCCTGTCACGGGAGGATCGAAACACTGAGCACGTCACACCTGAGGACTGTGTAACAAGGAGAAGAAGAACAAACATGACCAGCCTTAATGACAATATGTGGTGTCTGGTGTGTTTGCACTGGATGATTAGTCTGTGTACGCAGGCGAATTGACCACTTTTGACAATGAATGAATCAGCGAGGGGACTGATGCCCGCTTTGACTGGTGCTGCGTCAGCAAACCATGCTGCGGACCTCCTTTGACCTTTTTTGCAGAGGTGCTTCCTGTGCAGAGTAAGATGGAGGATGAAAAATGCAACGGTCACGCTCGATTAGTTGTGTTTTTGTGTGGTGTGTGTGTCTGAGAGGGTGAAAGTGAGTATTTAGTTGTAGCTTTTAACTGCCACTGATATAGAGTAAGATGTCGTGAAAAGAGTTGGCCAATTCTCTAATGAGAGCACTAGGGAAGACAACAAATCCATAGCAGATAGAGGACTCAATAGTGATGTCTTTTAGAAGGCCACTTAATTCTGCAAGAGGCATTCTGGGACACTTCAAAGGGAGATTTTTCTTCTTTTATAAAATCTTTTTTAGATTTTACCGATTTCTTTAGATTCAAAGCTGCCTGTTGGGGATATTTGTGTCAATATTAAATATATTTCTAATTTTCAAATAAAAAAGTAGCTGGTGTTTTAAAAAAGAATCCAGAATATATATATTTATTTTATGATGACAAACCATAATCATGCACATTTTCTCGTTTGGAATCTGAACCAAATTCTGCACTACAGCAAGAATACGTTCCCTTTTTACAGCCGGTCGCGATGTAATTCCTCAACACACAACTACTGGCCGTTATCTTATTCCAAACCAACTTCTTACATCACTGCAAGTGTCAAGAGTTGTGATTTTATTTAATAAACTATTTGAGTGGAATTATTATAGAGACAGAATGTTTCACCTTGCATGATAGGATGTTAAAACCCTGAGAATATGCCATATTCTTGCTTTCCAAAGCATGTTGTTTGAATGTATTCTTAAGGGTGGAATGTTAAGTTAACTTAAAAGTTTAAAAAGTGTATTATTTATTGTTAATTATCACCAGTTGAGTACAAAGTGTTTTGCAGTGTTGAAGTGATTGTTAAAATGTTAGTCATTTGAACGACATTAAATTATTTAAATTGCCATTCTTGGAATAAAGTGAAACTTTTTTAGTTTCACACACTCACACACACACACACACACACACACACACACACACACACACACACACACACACTAGAGTCCCTGCATGATCTATTATTTGTCACATTACAGCTTTTTGCAAATTTTGTCAAATGGGCTGTTTAAAGAAGATAGCACCACACTTCTAGTGAAATAGATCTTAAAACATCGCATTACAAAATATATGGCATGTTTGCATAATGATTGTCTGTTATATGTTTAAAGCAATACTCCACTGCATAAGCATGGAAACATGCAGGCTGTGCCAAGTTCTGGTGGGCCGAAGACCTATTTTCATTGTTGTGGAGAAACAACTACAGTGCAGTTGTTGACAAGGCTTAACACTCCATCCTACGGAGTGATTAGGTATATATACAGTTCTTTATAAATAGCGCTCCTGGTCTCTCATATTCAAATATTTTCAGCATTTTACTTTAGGAGAAGGTGCATTCAAACTGAGAAAGTGAGTGCAGATATACAGTATATGATGATAGTCACAGAATATTGAAAGGAAAACCCAGCATAAGCGTGCTTTGAATTTTTTTATGCAAAATTACATCAAATCGCCATGATCCCTGTGATATCCGATATGCTTGCAGTTTCCTGTTATCCTTTGTGTTATCACAGAAAAGCATCTGTTGGCTCGGAAATTAGTGATAAATGATATGTGCTGTTTTAGAAACAGGAAGGCCTGGACTTCCAGTTTATTTATGAGTCATTGTGAACAATGAGATTTTCTCTGAACTGTTCAATGAAACAAATTAAAAGAGTTTTTGGCCTATTTTTAGTGGGTTTTCCTGTTTTTTAAAAATACGGTATATACGTGCTCATTTTGGTGGAAAAGGGTATAAAGGTAAGATATAGGCTCTTCCATGTCTTCTGACCGCAACCCACAATATCTGTTAAGACTTTTCTGACAAAATTTGAAGTGTACCATATTCCTTTTAACACATTACTTGCCACCACCATGTAATGCACTGTAAAGATGTCTTTGCCATTCCACATACGTATTTTTGTGAGATCAGGTTGTGACCATCCCATGTCAGCCAATGGACTGCTGAGGTAAAATACCAGAGCAATGGATTGGTGAGCTAACATGTAATAACAAAAAATCAAAAAAATTGTAGGTAGGAGTGCACCGTGGGTAGATCAGGGCATTCCCAATAAAAACACAACTTGCTTGTGTAGACATTTTGTAAACTTGCACTAGCAGTCGATAACTTTTTGCAAAGAACCCATTAATTATTACTGATTGGAAATGTTTGTCAGACTCAACAGCAGGTAAGAAAGCAGGTACACTCATTACCATGACAGCAACAATTGTTTTTCTCAACGTGTCTGTCTATGCAAACACATACTGTCAGCAGTCAACACTGCTGCAGGTAATTTACTGTAGAGCATTTGCAATCTGTGATTAATTACAAAGCGTGTCAACTTAATTATGTGCTTGTTTTATGAGTATACTGTTGGCCAGGCTCTGTCGGCAAAGTCGGATGAAATAGAGACAACAAACACACCCCAGGTTGTCACATAGTAATGCTCACGACTTGTCACATACTGACACATGGTCATTACCCTAAGCGTCACTTTCTAATGCACCGGGTAGCCCAGCACGTCAAACTGTGCTGCTCCGCATACGGTCGCATTAAACACGTGGTTAACATTGTGAATTCAAACAAAAACATTTACTTCATTTAGGCAACAAAATCACTTAGTTAGGTCTCGGATAGACTTCATGGTGGGGCTCAAAATAAGTAAAACAAACTTAACATAAGTGCTGAAAACCCGAACTTCAAAATATCTCAACGACCCTTTGGGACACAAGCACCCATCTCAAACACTGGTCTCCTGGTTGAAAGTGTTTGTTTGACCCATCCACCTACCCTCTCTTCCACCTTGTGTGGTTTTTTACATTGTAATTACTTGAAAGCTCGGTGCGTCTCATATAGATGCTAAAGTGTGCCTTGAGAATGGGCTAAGACAACGCCTTACATATGAGTGTAAACACTGTGTCAATGCTTAAATCTTGCAAAAAAAAACCTTGTTGTTATGAGGTGTACCCTTATAATTGCTGGGTATACATTTGTGAGTCTACATTACTGGTGGGGCGTAGCCTGCATCTTCATAACAGATCAACCAGTCCTCATGTGTTGGCCGCTGTCGATTATTTACCGCCAGCTTCTGTTAAAAGGGAGGCTCCTCTGTGGTTTGTGTGTGTACTGTACTCTCTGTGCCGACTTACCCCGGCAGTACGCGCGCACACACACACACACACACACACACACACACACACACGTACACACCTTTATAGGGTTGGAATTCATTGTTGTGCAATCTTGGCCCCATCATGCATTTCAAGCCAAAACTAGAACAGGCAGATGGCTGCAGTTCTCCATAAAAACATGTGTGCCACAAGTTCAATGAAACTTTCAAAAGTAAGTGACACTACAAAGTGATTTAATGCTAGTTGCTTACATTTGATAAGCTGCACATTAATACATTTAAAAAATGCATCACCATTGACAGGGCTAGAGCATGTGTTTATTGCCTTTTACAGTGATTTTGAACTGTTCACCGTCTGTCTCCCTTTGAGCACCACCTCAGCCTTGCTTGTTTTGATCCATGTGAGTTACACAAGTTTCTTCCATCAAATTAAAGCCATTCAGCATGGAAGCTGCTAAACCTGTGAAACCTTACATCATGTATTTTCAAACACGCCATTACACAAGACATTTGATGGGTAATTTCATTATTTAGTTTGCACATAGTTCCCTATCAGTTTTCATGATGCCCCGGAAAGCGCCTAAGCTTGGCTGGCAAATGCACATTTTTGGCCATACTGTCGGCCGTTTGAGAGAGTACAGAAAAATTAAACCTATCGATCAATCATGTTTCCACTTATTTTTCAAAATGTACCCTAATCCAATTTACAGTAAATGTAGCAGCTGATGGTTTTGTGTTAGAAGCTTTGCTAATTTATATGTCAACTGGCTGGAGCCACCAGGAGGAAAGCCAAAGACGAGGCCACAAAGCGACTTGGTAGCGCTGAGAGTGCCTTCAGCTAGATGAGCAACCGTCATCAGCACATGATGAATGCTTTGTGGAAAGAAATACCGGCTACTTTATGGCCTTACTAAGATGTGCTTAATTATGACCCACATAATGACTGACAGCCTGCAGTACTTGTCCATCATTTCTGATATTGGCAAAAACAGATCCATTTAAAATGTCCACATGTAGCCAGAAAAAATGTATAGACTCGACCCTTAAATATCTTGTTTGGGTCTTGTGGTGTCTTCTTTGCCTCCTGGCCCTGCTGTCTCTCTGATATGTTGCCTTCACGGCTAAATCGTCAAGACCAGTTGTTTCCAAAGACTGGGTCGGGACCCACTGGTCGGTCGCAGGAGATTTTATTTGGGTCGCCAAAAAAATTTGCAGAATTTTGTCCATAGTCTTTTATTTAACGTTTATATCTGCAGTACACCTTGAGCCACTTATGACATTGGATCTAATATGAAAGGCTTGCGTACATCCTGTTTAACGGATGAAAATAAGTGTTGTTGAGATGTCAATTCCGATAGATCGGGCCATTCACCTGCTCATGTTTTCGCTTCGGCCACCGTAGCTCTCCTACACGCTTGGCGCACGGAAGAAGTTTCAGTTGGTTGCACTCTGCATCCTCACCGCTAGCATGCCCGCCAAATCCTACACACTGCGGCTTTATGAGACAGAGGTGTGTTTGGTTTGAATCTTCTTGTGTAACTCTCAGCAAGAAAGCAGGTTAATGGATTTCCCAAAATGTCAAGCTATCTCCTTAGCCACATTACAATGAATGATACAAATATGACTGGCTGCACAGTTATAGATGCTGCACGGAACAGTAAGTCCATTGTCCCTTCAGCTGACTTGTACGTCTGTGTGTGGGGTTTTTTACATTTCTGGACTGACTACTAGCTTGTGTTGTATTAACTGAGGGAATGTTTCTGTGTTTATTGGTATCGCATTTTATTGGTCTCACTTTTACTGGATTTGGCCGGCCCCAGAGCAATGTAATATCCTCTTGTATTTAGTTTCCTGTACGGGTGTGATCTGTCCTATGTTGTTGACTGACTCATTATCACCCTTTGGATCAATCACATTTCAGTTATACCACTGTCAGTAGCATTATCTATTCTTTATGTTTTTTTATCATTCTAAGAAGATAAATGACATTTATTCATTTCTTTATTCATTCTAAGGATGTCGTTTTTTACTGTATGTACTGTGACCCACGTCACTTGCCTGCTGTAACACCAAAACACCCAAAACATAATATCAGTCACTATGGAGAACTGTTGCCATCTCGGAACGAAGCCTTGCCAGACGAAAGCGGTCCACGGCTCTTGTCTTAACCTGCCCAACATTGTAAGATGCGGGAAAGCAAGGTCACCGTCACATCACAACACCACCTTTCACCACTTCAGGTAGTGAAAGGAGGCCAGGAGTAAACAGGTCGTCATGGTATCAAAGTTCACGTTACCGACACAAAGGCTGACTCCCACAGAATTGGTCAGTCGGTGACAAACTCCACCGGGCGAAGAGGACGCAGTCGCTCTATTGATCTTTCAGTACAATCTACGCTTCCTTTAGTGTGGCTGAAGGACGTTGTAAGGTACACACAATACAATTACACTATAATAGTAGAAATTAATTTTGTTCACATTTTATACTGAGAGGAAATATCAGTCGGATAACTTAACAAACAACTTCAGAATGACATCAAATGACATCGGCCTTGTTTCATTTTTTGTGTGTGTGGTCTTCCTGGAGATGTCTCCCTCTATAATTAGTTTGAATTTGTTTCATTTGAATGCCTTTTTCTTCTTATAGCAAACATGTTTGCTTAATCAATTTATTACACAGAAATCCTAAACAATATCAGGCTATTTCAAGACAATTCCGTAAAAAAATCCCCTCAGTCAAATCCTAACGAATAACAAGATGTATCAGAGAAACCCACCCAGCATCCAGTGCAGAGATCAGCACTTTTATCTCATGTTTGGCTGAACTTTAATCATGAGTTACAGACATGGCCGCCAAAGTGGAAAGTCAATTTCAGTTACCATCCATTGCTTGTCTTTAATGTGTTCTCTCCCCCTAATTGTTTTTGGCTGAGTGCATATGCAGCAGCCATGGTGGTTCATATTGTTATCTTCTATAGTCTGTAATATACACACACACAGTAGCTGTGGTCGATTACCACTCTGCCTGCCTTGCAGACTTGTCTTCAATGCTGGTGGCCTCTCTTGACATCCATGATATGTGTGCACCTTTTACTTTAGGCACTTGTTTGTGGTGCTAATAGCCCAAAGAGTTAAGAGGAGTTAACAGTGCAGCCGGGCTTTCTGATCCACAACTCCGAAACTCTGCAAGCCGGTGCTGGGAATCACCTTCTGCGTAAGGCCCTCTGGACAGACCTCGTGCTTCAGTGGAAACTTGGCTCTGCTCTTCATCCACTTGTAAACAGACGGCTGCTTACACACAGTCTGCACATCATAATAAACACACGGGGTGAACACCATGTTTTCACCCAGCAGAGCTCCGTACTGGTGAGAGAGAGAGAGGGAGAGAGAGAGAGAGACCAGTGATAATCACAACACAACACAGCAGGTGACGCACATGCATTATGGCACAGATAATCTAGAACAAATTGTGATTATGCTTTATATTGTCCTGTTCCTTAATGGAAATGCCCTTTTAGTGATTCTGGGATATGATGGCGATGTCAAACTACATTGTTACTGGAATAAGGACTTCACAGTGCTTAAAAGGTACGTTTCTCAAGCAGAGACTGACGGGAAATTACTTTGAAAACAGTCAGATGATATACAGATTGCTCAGCTAACCAGAGCATGCATTCATCATGTGTTGAAATGTCTTTATTTTTGCAAAAACGGACGTGCAGGTCTCAGCTTAACCACAATTACACATTTGATTCATTTGACACCCTGCTACATGTGTAAAAAACACAGGTCTGTACATGACATCTAGCATGTTTAAGTTACTAAACTCATCACCTGTGCTTTAATCAATGTGAACCGGTGAATGACCTATGTGTAACATCCTGTTAGTTTCATCGTGTCTCTGTGTCTATCTCTGTCTCTGTGTGTGTGTGTGTGTTTCCCCTGATTCCCCTGCACTCATCCTACTCACCTGCCCGCTCCACCCAGCTGCCTCCAATCTTCTCATCACCCCACACATATATACTCCCCTCGTTTCCTCGCTTCGGTTGTCAGATCGTCTTTGTTCTTCCCTTTGTGCTCCTGGTGTCTCCCGTGTTGATTCAATGATTTATGACTTTGCCTTTTTGTTGGTTTTTGGCTCGCTCCCAGTTGGAGTCGCTTTAAGTTTTTGTTTATTATTTTTTTGGTGACCAGTAAAAGACCTTATTTCCAACTTCACCTCGTCTCCAGTGTCGGTCTCTGCTCGTGAGTCTTAGCTCAGCCCTGAACCGTGACACTATGAGAGAATATTCTTCAGACAGTTATTTAGTTTGCCCCTCAAGACCTGGCAAACATTTTCAGCCAAAAGATTGGTTTTAGTTAAGTGATATTAGTGTCCGAGTAACACAGCATTCATTATAGAGATTATATTAGAAATACATCAAATGTAAAGTGACGGAAGTTGTTTTTTTGGTTTCTCGCCTGCAAATGGAGTTCTGCAGCGATTCCATTTCCAGCAGCATTTGTAGGCTGCTTTTAGCAACAACAACAAAAAAGAGCTTAGATAAACCAAGCGAACATTACTTCTAAAGGAATGAGCAGACATGGTCAGTGACTGGAATGAATGTCTTAACTATAAAGATTACAACTTGTAGTGCTGCTTATAAAGTTTTATTGAAGGGAGGAAGTTACATGTTACAGCTCTCGTAACTGTCAGCTATGTTAACCCTGAGCTAGCCTATCCGTCTGAGTCCTGGATGTTAACCTTACCAACAATAATTATATAAATTCTGTAAATGAACAATGGTATTTGTAGATTTCTAAATAACTGTGTACTCTGTAGTCGGGTCCTACATTTCCCCCTTTTTCAAACTCTGTCTGACCCTAAGTCAAGTCATGGAGTGTATCTTCTGGTCTTTGTCCTTGACCTGGATCAGTGAACACCTTAGCGTCCGTTTTCTCTTCATTGGACTTGTTGGTACGCAACAGTCTTCCTGAGTCCCAAAAGGTTCCATCGTGAAGCTGGAAGGTGTATCTGCCGTGTCAGGTGACGATCATATAAGGGTCAGACAAACTGGTCTTCAACATGTATCCTCTCAGCGGTTTTCCTTTTTGGAGCAGGGCAGGAGCCCCATACTTTGATAAACCTCTCTACATTAGGTAGTGGATGGCGTCCTCTGGTGCACGATGGTAGTTGTCGTTTTATAACTAACTATGCGGCATGTAGCTGGTGAAGAAAGTCAAACAGCTAGCAGCTCAAGACACCCAACAACCAACACGTGAGTGAATATTGGACTTAGATTTGTCGCTTGGACGAAAAAGCAAACTCAAATGTTGTATGTATGTGTATTTTTTCAGCTTGTTATTGAAGTTCTCAAGTGGCCGAAACATAACTGCTTTAACAATACAGCCGAAAGACTTGTACATGTCAAGGTTCAAACCGAGTTAGAACTGGTTGACGGTTACATTTCTCAGATGTCTGGGTTACGTAAAACTACCTTTCGACAGCCGGTCAGCGACTGGAAGATTTCCGGCAGAGCGCTGAACTTGCCCTTGCGTCAGCTGATGAGTATCAGCTGTTTCATCCTTTACAATCTGAGTCACATTCATACAGGTGTACCTTGATATCCTGACACTTCTAACTGTGTCTGCTGATACCCCCGTGCCAACACCACTCCCTCTAACCTCCTCCTATGGTGTTGGAGCTTGTGGTAATGTTGACTTTAATAATATCTCATGTTCACGCATGTGTTTGTTGATGGGGGATCAGTTCTCCTAGCAGCGATCTTTGAGCCCCCTCAAACAGCAAAGCTTTTTTCCACCAAATCTGTCTGCTAAAACTCTTTGCTATGAATGGTCAATTCCTTGACTGACGCATTGCTGACTGACTGATCAACATGTCATGGTTTCAGGTGTTAGCTTACACTCTGAAATACAGTTATTGAGGTGCTGTTGAAAATGGTTAACCTACATATTTATTAACTTTTCAACCAATCCAACCCCGTCTTACCCAAGAATGTAAACATCTTTTGTCCTAAAGATCACAAGTGGACTTAAATACCAATAAAAAACAATGGTCCGAACGTTTTTTATAAACTGAATTTATAATGAGGCTTGTAAAACAATGCATTCAACAGTGCCCACTTTTTTTTTTCCAAACACTCATAGAGGCAAGAGGGTATTGCATCATCATCTTTATGCCAACCTGACACAGTATTTCAACATGACATCCACATCCGCTGTGACTAATTTATTGAATATGAACACTGTAGGTAGTGTTGCCAAGTAACAATGAATCAACTGTACATACGCGATGGCGACATGTGACGGACAACAGCTCCTGGAAACAGAAAAGGCACGTTTAAGGCTGAACGGTGGGGGTGTGTAGTGGGTGCTGTGTTTTTGTAGTTCTCTCATTTAAGAGTATACTTTGTTTTCAAATTGTAAAATAGGTGGAAAGTAAAAAGAATTAAGGCATTGAATGCTTAGAGAATAGGGATACATATCACAGCTGCTGCAATTTTGCAAAATGCTCTTCAAATGTAAAAGAAGAAAGAAAAACACACTGGAAATAGAGTTGCATTAACCGCTGCCATAACTGTATTTTAGGAACAAGGGCATCGCGTCTGCAATGTACGTCACATCTTGACCTTTCACTTAAAAATGGAAGCCCGCAGGACACTTAGGGAGGGAATGCTATTGCAGTAAAAGCCTGCCAATGCCTCAGGGCATGAGAGTCATACTGGGGCAAGTCACTGTATACACAGCAAGAGCCAATCGTGTTGAGGCCCGCCCCTCGCCTGTCACGATCCGGATCGTGGCTGGAGAGAGAGAAACTATAAAGTTGCCTGAGAAGTCTAGAGGGAGAAGGAGAGAAGATTGAATCATGAGAGAGAATCTTGCTTGTGTGTCATCCCAAAGCATGGCGTTCACTGACTGTATGACACCCACTGACCTGTCCACAGAGAGGAAGGGGATAAAGTAAGTTGCTGTTTAATAACAATGATGTGGGTTATGATGACCTCGTGAAAAATTATGTTGCTGAGAATTACGGTACACTTGCCTAAAATACTGATGAGTGATTTCCCTTTTTTCCAGGAGGAAAAACTGGAGGAACAGAATAGGATTTTTCTTGAAGACAAACACTTCCCAGTCGATAATGCATCTAATGAAAAACGGATCTTACAGGTGAGAAACTTATATTTTGAGGATTATGTCACAATTCTGCATGACATCTGGTTTGTGCTTCATGTTTATTATGTTATAAATATATAATTCAATTGTACATTACTTTTTAAATTAAGTTTTGTATGTAATCTAATTTACCTTATTTTATTTGACTATATTTTGTCCTTGCACAGCCTACCCATTATCCACACTCTATTGAATGTATTTATTTAGTGTATTTTTTGCAATGTGCATGTTTTATGTATTGTTTTAGGACTAAATAAAACCAAACCAGATGACTATGTTTTTATGTCTAAAATCAATTATTTGATTCTAAATGAAACGCCAATTGCAGCATGGACACACTGTATAGTCAATCAAAAGTAACTTTACAGATAAATATATGATTAATGTAGTTAATTTAATGGAACAATTACCTTTTTCAGGAGTGTTTGCAAAAGTGTATTGTTATCATCAATTTAAAGTTTTTCTCCTCTGCAATTTTCTTAATACGTTCTGTATCCTCTCCCCTCAGGCCGACTGCTGATGACGTGCACCAATGGGCGCAGTCACTTGACAAACTACTCAGTCATAAATGTAAGCATCATTCACCGCACTATTGGCACACGAGTACATAAAAGGCTCTCAAAGGTCACACGGTAACTGTGGGCTAAATGAAAGCACTTTATTGGCCTCAATCAAATAAAAGCTGTAATGGCTTTTCACTTACTTTACATTGATGAGCAAACAACGTCCCTCGGCTTATGTTACCCGCCTTTTCTTTAACACTTCTTCTTCTCTTTCCCCCTCCCACAGACGGGAAAACTGTGTTTTGTATCTTTCTGAAGTCTGAGTTCTGCGAAGAGAACATTGAGTTTTGGACAGCCTGTGAGGATTTCAGGAACACCACGTCGCACAAAGAGCTGGCGTCCAAGGCCAACAGTATTTACGAGGAGTTCATTAAAAGTGAAGCTCCCAAAGAGGTAACAGCTGCCATTTATAGCATTTCCTGTTCATCAAAAATAAATACAATTTTCCAAATCAGAATTCATGTGCTTCAAGTTTTATAAATACACAACATATTCTTTATTACAAATGGAAGTCAGAGGCTGATAATGGCTGTTTCTTTGGTCACAGATAAACCTGGATTTCCACACAAAAAATGCCATCGTCCAGACCCTCCATGAGCCCACTGTGACCAGCTTCCTGCCAGCTCAGGGGAAAGCCTACAGCCTGATGGAGAACAACTCCTACCCCAGATTTATCTACTCCGACCTCTACAAAGAACTGTGTGCTGCTGCCAGGGGAGAGGGCAAGCACATTAAGTCCTAGTCAAACTAGACACCCACTGCTGGAGTCATTTGTTTACCGCTGCGACAGCATGAATAGGCCGCTGATGATGTTCAATCCGGGCACCGCCTTGGGATAATACACCCAAATGCAAATCCTCGGCAGAAACAATAACGTCAAGTGCGGATAATGCAAAAGTGAAGCCATGTTGTAGTCCGTCGTGCTGAGAGCTGATCATCAGGATGTGACATGCTGCTCCAGGCAGCGCACTGAGCATTTCTACCTGATGGGATTATTGTTGCATTTTCCTCACTGGGCCATTACCTGCACTTTCTTTGTACCACGCTATTAGCATTTTGGGCAATGATGCGTACAATAAAATTCTGTTGAAGTGCAACTGCATTCAAAGCTGAGATGACTGTCAAAACACTTTACACTTCACTGTCTCACCGACGATGCTGTTAGAATGTATTTCTGCGCTCAAATCCACTTGAAGACTTTGCACAGCTGTCATATCCACTGAACTGCCTTTGTGATCCTGGATTTGCTTGGATCTGTTTACACAAAAAGTGCAATTCTAACTTGTATAATACTATTCACAGTTTCCACCAAAGATAGTATTTGGCCTGAGATTACTGTGACAATGTTATGTGTTGAATGTGAAGTTGGCAGGCAGCTGGACTGCTCAAGAAATAAAATATTTTTTCTTCAATTCTGAAATGCCTTTGTTGCGTTTATTTCTGAAATCAATGCAAAAATGTCAAACTTCTTCAAGCATGAAAGTTAATTTGTTGATATTTGGGAACAGTGTAACAATTAAAGTGTAAATAATTAAAGTTATTTGAGCTCAGGGACCTTAAAATATTTTTAAAGTTTTACCCACATCTCATGTTCTAGTTTACTCCTAATTCACTGGTCAAATGTCGACATTACTGCTCAGTGAATACTGAAATGGTTATTTACTTAAAACCTGCATCAACAGATGTTTTGCTCACTTGGCAGTGCAGCAGAAACCAGTTACAGTTACCTTTTAAAGTTGATTTGGCTAACATGTTACAAACGGTTGCTTATTTACACATCCAGCAGATAAGGAACAACAGTAGCATTCTTTTGGAGTCATGTTTCCGGGTCACCTGGCAAACCTAATGAGGGGAAAACTCATGATGAAAAGGTAGATCTGTGGAGTCTGGGCGTCCTTTGCTACGAGTTCCTGGTTGGAAAACACCCCCTTTGAAACAAAATCCCCTCTCTGTCTCCCCCAATGATACAATGAAACATATATTGCTGCTAAATGCTCCACTGTGCTTACCAACTAGTCACTATCTTTGTCTGTCTGTCATTCGGTGCTAGGCAGAGGGTTCATCAGAATGGTTTTGTTGAAAACTGCCGCCGGAAACGGCGTTGATGAAAACCGTGAAAGTGACTCAAAACAGTAAATTTGAGGGCTGTGAAACCAAAACAATGACATATAAGCTTAAGGGGGGAAAATGAGGGGATTTGCAAAGTCAAGTGATTCTTTTTTTTTTTTTGCCTTCCCACCATCTGTGCCTTGACACAATCCTGTCTCTGAGCTCTGCAGGCAGGTCCTGCAGACGTCCTACCTCAGTCTTTTCTCTGACATGCATCATCAGGTGTGTGCCTTCACCAATTATGTCCACTCAGTGGAATGAACCACACGAGGACTCCAATCAAGGTGTACGAACGTCTCAAAGGTGATCAAGAGAAATAGGAGGCACCTGAGCTAAATTTGTTGAGCGTCAAGTTTTTAATACATTTGCGAAAAATGTCTAACATCCTGTTTTGGCTTTGTCATCATGTGACAGAGTCTACATTGATGAGGGGGAAATTATTTAAACTATTTTAGCATAATGCTGCAACATAAAAATGTGAAAAAAGTCAAGAGGTCTGAACAATTTCTGACACACTGTAGGCCTACTTAGTTATTTGACAACAAAAGTACTGATTAAATATATACCAATAAAGTGCGTAATTCCTTGTAAAGGACTGATATGTGGCTCAGACAGTCCTCAAATATCGTGTTTATTGTTAAAGCAAAGTGAAGCAATATTTTGAAACTCAGAGAGCTACCATTTATCTTGAATACCAAAACTTGAAGTAGTTTAATGTGCACATCATGCTCTCTGGGTGTTTGGTTTAACGAAGGTCAGACACATCCACACACCGCACACCGACATATTTTTAGACGCAATGTGCCGGATCTTCGGTTGCACAAAAACAACAACATTCCTTTGGGAATATTTAATTCCTCTTTGTGCAGCTGATGGGGGGCCCACGTCATCGCAGCTTAGTTCCCTTCCTGTAACTTTGTGTAAAGAGCACCTTCACAGACAGCAGAGAGAATCCTCCCCTCCCTGCCGTGTGTCTGCTCTCTAATAAAGAAGCTGTTTCCAGCCGTGAACCCACAGTAGAGGCTGACAGTGGCCAGACACCAAGACGTTGCTCCTGACAGGCTGACAGCTCCGGTTCTCTCCTCTCCTCAGTCCTGTGGCCTGTTGTCGAGGTGCAATAGGTCATCTTTTAGACCAGCAGCTCTCCAGATCCGTATGCTCTGCTGGCCTTCAGGTTAAAGGAGTGGATTTGTGATCCTAAACTCAGACTGTCTGGGATGTGTGGAAGTATGTGTGTGTAACTGTTTTAATAAAGAGTTATTTTCTTCGGTGTTGGAACGATAATAAACCCGATATGCTACCGGCATGGCTCTAGAGATGGCCCAGCTCTTTCACCCACACTCAAATCACCATTATATGGACTGCCATGGAATTTTGCATTTGATGAGTCGTGATCCCCAAAGAATTAAGACTACTGACCTTGGTGATCCCCTGACTTTTCCCCTAGCACCACCATGGGGTTGACATTTGTGGTTTTAAGTGAAAAGTCTCAATAGCCATTGCATAGATTGCCATTCAATCGAGTACAGAAATCCACATTCTCCTCAGAATAAACTGCATTAACTTTGGTGACCTCTCAACTTTTCATATAGTGCCACAATCACATCGAAATGTCACGTTGTCACTACTTTGGTTTATACCTGCACGACAAATACCTTCAGCCTCAGCTGTACTTTGTTTTCAGTGCTAATTCGCATATGTTAGCACGCCAACATGCTAAACCATGATGGCGTCGACCATGGCAATTGTTATACCTGCTTGAGCATTTAGCTCAAAGCACCGCTGTGCCTAAGAACAACCCGTGGAGCCTCACAGGTGAAGACGCTTGGTTTTCTTTGTGTTATAAACCCTCATTGGCTGTTTTCCCTTCTTTTTCATTTCTAGTAATATCTTTTTCAAACTTATTGTACGTCTGGCATTCAGCTCGTTCTTAGATCATTGTAAATGTAAATACTTTTGGGTTTTGAACTGTTGGGAAAATGAAAACAACCCCAGCAATTCCATCTTGGGTTCCTGACATTGTAATAATGCATTATTTGCCTTAATGTTATCTGTCAAGGACTTTTTGCTTGTCTGGTGTGGATCTGCTGCTTGTACGGGCCTCTAAAGCCCTTTGAGACACGGTACGTGATAATGAACTGTACAAACACACTTCCCATGACCTTCAAAGTAGGCCCCAGCAGCACACATTCCGGTATGCAGCAATCTGGCTATTTTTAAGACTTCATTCTTTTTGTAGCATTTTGCATCTGTGTCTGCATGCCAGAACCTTCATTCCATGTTTTTGTGACCTCAGCCAAATTATAAAAGATAACATCCTTCATAGGATAACAAAGGACAACATAAAGACAATAATGATGATTGATATGTTGGATGACAGCACTTACAATGAGGCAGTGACTGTGTTCATGATCACCCTGCAGAACTGGAACAGTCACCCTGAATGCTTATTGTTTGCTCATCCATGTGGCCTGATCTCAGACACATACTGTTCTCTCTCTCTCTCTGAGATGGTAGTAAAACCTGTGGGTTTCCATTAGTTGCTATGACAGATCTTGGCAACAGACTACTGGGACCAGATCCAAGAAGCACTTAAGGTGTGTACGTAAACAGAGGCGCCAAAAATAGAAAAAGCACCACGTTCTAATTTGGTCGTCAGACTGCAGATACGTCACACTACGCAGGCCTTTAGACGAACGTTGTGTTCAAGCACCCGTACGTCAGCAGAGTAGGGTTCCTCTGTGCAGTACAGACTGCTGTTCAAAACATCAACATGCTTCTACTGGAGGCTCTCCAAAAGAAACAGGAGTCACTAAATTTGTAGCTTTTGTTTTTTTATGATGCACTTATAAGTAGGCAGCTTGTTGGTGTGCTCTCATCGGCTCAAAAGATTTGAGCACAGACTCCATTGCTACATTGTTTGATATTCATTTTGTCAAAAACTTATAAAGTAACACTGGACAGAAAAAAAGGTTTGGCACATTGCTTTTTGTAATGTACTGTAAATGTAAGCCTCATTTGCCTGTTTTACCAGTAGGTGGCGACAAAGCTCTACCACTAAGTCTGATTGCAGAATGAATTCATCTGTGGGGAGCATTTAGGGAAATAAATAAATAAATCTGCAAATGAGTTAAGATCTGAAACGCTGTTCTGGAATTCAGGATATTAAAAACACAAATTCACAAACATCTAGACATTTTATTATGAAAATAAGACGGAACATAATTTGAGCACATCATTCCTTCTACATGCATTAGAGCCGATGGACACACACGGAGAGAGTGTTTGGCCGTAGTCTCTCTGCTACACCTGCAGTGCAGTTCTTAATGTCTGGATGGTTCACCACGGTGAAGAAGTGCTGCGGACCGTCCGCAGTCAGTGACATGAAGATGAACAGTATCTGCATGTGGCTCAGTGATGAAAGGGGGACTGTCGCTCTGGATGTGTGTGATTAGAGGCTTCTCTATTGGAAGTGTGTTGTTGTCGTTCACTTGGCCTCCTGGGCTTTTTTGGCACTCTGCTTCTCCTTCGCCTGGTGACAAATAAACAAACGCATTTGCATTTTATTTTAATTAAAACACACCTAAAGAATTGTAAAAACAAGATAATCAATGTCTTATTCATGAACTGGGCATGGCACGCTTGTGAGACATTCACTTGTGCCCTCTAGTGGTTAGAATAAACACTGAAGCTGAAATACTTTGGCAATTTCATCGTGTTTGTTGATTATTTTTCCTCCCCGAGACCGTCGACATTGACCAAAGTCATCCATTATTTATCCACGAGAGTCCCTTAAAACTACAAGATATCCCATTAAAAATAACGAAGAGGAATACCCAACGATGTACTCGAGTCTGACACGCATGCATAGAAGGCCAGTCATGTTGAAGAAAAGCAAATACCTTCTCCACCAAAGGTATTAACTGTTGGTACTCTGCCAGTGTCTTCAGCAGCTCCATGATGAATGGAAGGTAGTTGTGCTTTCGCCGAATGTTTTCAATCTGAGAAAACACAGAAAACCCACAAGTGAATAAAAACCTGAAATTAAAAAAAGCCCTCTTACAGTAAACACAGCCTCTACATTCATAATGTGCTCGTGGTTATTCCAGAGGTATTTCTCCACAGGAAAGACACACTGTAGCCTTATGGGCCTATTTTCTGCATTTATATCACAGTGAATGTCGCATGTAATAGTAGGGAATGTGGTGTTTGAGAAACCCACCTTATATCTTTTAAGTTTCTGATTTTCCTCTTCAATAAGGAGCTGGTACTTGGCAATCTCAGACTGGATGGAGCTAAGAAACGTGCTGCTCTGGTCTGTGTCCATCGGTTCATCCTGGGAACACAAGGGGAAAAAACGAGAATAGAGAAACATGTAGTTTCATTAGTAATAACTAAATAAGGCAACAGTGAATATGAAGCAGCAAAAATACTCCACTCCTTTAACGTGTTTGCATGAAGAGGTTTCCCACTGTATGAAGTTAAACCTTGTGTTTGCTGACCTCCAGTGGTTGAAAGCTTCACCTTGCTGCAGTCATGCTGACGTGTGATCGGTATACCTTGACATCACCGTTGGCGTGGTTGGTTCCAGGTGCAACGGAGCACATTTCCGACAGCAATAATAAACCCAATAATGACGCTGGGTGTGGCATCGGGTGTAACAAGACTACACGTATCAACCAGAAGCAGGTCAGTGAAACAAGAAGTTTCAGCTTTGGGGGGAAATACTCTTTGACCCCTCTCTAAAGGGGGAATGTTTATATATTCCATAAATGCAAAAAACAGAGTTCTTATTAGAAATCCACCCGATTCCCTGACTTCCTTGTCCCGAATACTTCTTTTCATAATGTTCTGAGATAGTTATAGATTGCATCATTGCACTAGATTTTATTAAAAACAGAGTAGTCGTATCAGACTGTGTGTGTGTGTGTGTGTACACAACTACTGGAGCACTTTTTTTTTTTTTTCTTCTCCTTGAGCACAACATGGTTTTGTCCTCCAACTTATGAATGTGATGCATTTCCCATGCAGCCTCACAGGGAGATGTGAACATACATATTACTCTTTGTCATGTGTGCACTGGTTGAGCTCTTCTGCTCACCTCAGTAAGCTGGGTCTGGAGCTCTGCGATCTTTCTCTCGTAAATCATCTTTCTGTCTGACACGATGGCCATGAGGTTGAATCGGATCTCTCCTTCACTGTACCTGAAGAGGGAAACAATAATACAGTTTTATTAAGTATAGAAGGGTAAACTCAAGAAAGTCAAGGCGGTACAGTATTATACAGATATCTGATGTCTGTATATACAGAGAAAATACTATCATTGCTTCATAAGAATACAAACTATTAAAAAAATGCAAATAAATCAAATGAGATGGATGAAAAAAAAACTTGTCTGCAAAATCATTTCTGCACCAGTGCCTTACATTAATTATCTCTATTAATTGTCTTACTACTCATCGTCTTAAAAGAAAGGGATTCATTAAAAGCATTAAAGCCACATCAACTGTGACAGGAAGCATCTGGTTGACCTAACATTCTTCTAAAATTAATGTAAAGACTAAAGACATTCACTTCTGTATTCTTTTCTCGATCACAGGGCGAACTGCGCTGATCCAGTCATCCTGGTTGCATGTACCTGGTGAAAAACACAGACAGGGATGAATAATAGGTGTCCGTATATACAGTAACCGCCCAGTACATCATCCTTAAAAAGAGACAGTTTTAGGGGAAATGGGCCATGGCCAACCAGATAGAGACTACGCATTGGAGGACCGCACACCGAGGGGCATAACTGCTCGTGTTGGTGCTGAAAGCGTAAAGCAATAATAGAGAAATAACAAATGGCTTTTATTCTGCTCACCGAGGTCAATTGGTCCCTCTCGGAGTCCGTCCAGCTCGTATAGTCGACCGTTTACAGGAACATAGCTCACAAAGTGAAACGCGTCCTCGTCCTTCGCTGACGACTTTGCATCAAATTCAAACATTTGCTGCCTGTAAATACGAGACAGCGCACAATAGTGAGATCAACATCGAAGATAATCATCATGAATCACACATACATCTGTAGAAGCTGTTGTTTTGTGACACGTAGGGATTTAGGAACGCACCCTGTTCCATGAAAACTGTAACTCCAAATCAACGTGATGTACAGAATGTTCCAATTAAAATTGTTATCACCAAGCAGGTGGAGAAAGTGCTACGCCGTGACGAAACTAAAAATGTTTGTATTTCCCACTTCCTACATAAGAGAACCGGCACTGACAAAGTTTCGGGGTGACCAACATCTGACCCAGCCAGATGCATGAGCAACAAATGGGCCAATCGCTTTCTACAGTTAGAATGAGGAGCTAAAATAGCATGAAGCCAATCAAACAGACTCTCTCTCCAGCTAAATATGATATGAGCGGGAGCTTACCTGGCAAAGCTGTTGTGAACTTGTCGGATCACTTCGGAGTTGCTAAGAGCCAAACCTTTCATCTGAGGAGAGCGGGAGGAGCAGGATTATAATGCTGACTGTACGAGCCTAGCCTTAAAGATGCAGCAGCATCATGAAGGAACACGTTATACATTCCTGTGTCTGGTAACATGACATGCATCCAATTAGTTTTCAATGAGTTTATGTCAATAATATTAAATAAAAGGTACTCATTTGAATAAATTACTATTTTGTTGCTTCTACATCTTGCCTAGAAATATGGAAATATACAGATTGTCCGAAGCGGTGAGTCCACTCCTGCTAGTTTTCCTGCTTAATTAATTGTTGCCATTTATAAAACTGGTTTAGACTAAAATAAAAACGACACACAGCATCTTCGTCGAGGCAGAAGAAGTGTCTCTACTTGGAACTTTTCCACATCAAAGGAGAAGTTGAACATCAAAAATCACTTTCAGCCGGGATCTTTTCAACAGACAACCGAGTCATCAAGGTAAGAGGATGAAACTGTCAGGAAGGGGAAATGACAGCGAGTTGTGTAATACATCACTGCTCCAAAAAGGAAAGCTCTGTTCACTTTTTTTTTTTTGAATGCATGAATGATTTACTGCTTATTATTTGAGTTACTGGCGTCACTTAAGTTCAAAAATGGAGGTTCGTAGTTTTTCGATAAAATAATATACATTTACTGTGTTTTTTTTGGATTCAAGAGAAAAATACCATGAACGTACAGCGGCGTCAAAGCTCTGTGAAAACTCTCTGAACTCAGTCAGTGTGTCTCCGAGCAGCATGTCAGAATGGGAGCAGTTGAGCAGAACGCTGACTATTGCCTGGGTGGCACAGGCGTTGTTAATGACCTGAAAACACACAGATAGCATACACAACAATGCATTGGACGGATAGAATATCCCCTTATTCATGCAAATATTTTTTCAAAAGAGCCCACATCACACCCCCATAGAAATTTGAACAATCAAACTGTAAAATGGTGCAACGGATAGTAAATGTATGAATCATTACAGTTGCCATATGATGATTCCAAAGTTAGTTGGCAGAATGTTATTTACACTAGAGCTGCAAAATAACACTGTCTTGCTAATATTAAAATAGTATGTATTTAACGACAGAGGTACCTGTTTTGCAAAGAAGATCTGGTCGAGCCTTGAGTCCTGAACGATCGACCCTGCTGGCTCCTCGCCTGGCTGCCACTTGAACAGGAAAATCAACCCATGAACTGGTCTGGAACAGAGCAGATGCATTTAAAAGGCCTGTCTTAAGAAGGGAGCGTGCAATGTAACGAGGCTGCAGGTATTAACATACTTCAAGTTGTCGAAGTTCTCTGGCTCCATGCTCCATATTTCTTCAACCTGGGCGCCTTTGTAACCTGACATGGACGAGTAAAGCACCACATATTTATTCACACTTTTACAGCAAATGTTTAAGTAAGGTCTTCCAGAACGTTAACTAAGTGAGCTGATTTTCCCACTGGCGGGTAGTCTGCAGAGCAAACCACAACTCTCCAGAACCTCCACTGGCTCCCCATCCCACAACGGATCCAATACAAAATCCTTCCCCTCACTCATAAAGCCCTCCACAATCAGGCCCCCTCCTACCTCACCACCACACTCCATCCCGTCGGCTCCGCTCCTCTGATGCCAACCTCCTGTCTCTTCCACTCAGGACCAAGCACCGGACATGGGGTGACAGAGCCTTCTCCATATCTGCCCCCTCCCTCTGGAACTCTCTCCCCAAACACATCCGAGACTGCACTGACCTTTCCATATTCAAATCTCAAATCAAAACCCACCTGTTCTGTTAAACTGCTTTTAATGTGTGACCACTATTGTGTATTTTATGTTTTTAGTGTATTGCTTTTATATATGATGATTTTAATGTAAAGTGTCTTTGAGTTTTATGAAAAGCGCTATATAAATAAAATGTATTATTATTATTATTACTACAACAAATGTCATTCACGAGGGATTTTGTTTCCACGCGCCGTTGTTTTGAACGCTGAGTAATGCTAGCTAGTTAGCTTGTCTAATTGACTTAGCTATGGCTGCCCAATTATTACATGCAACTGTTTACAATATGCAGCGTTTGGGTGGCTGTTTGGAATAGACCGCCTCTCGAGTATTTCGGTTCAATCGGCATGGCATTTTATTGATTTAAGCGTAGGAAAATCAACAGTAGCTAATTTAGAAGTTGCCGTTAGCGTTAAAGAAGCTATCTAGCTAGCGCTGTCTGATAGCAAACGGTGCACTGAATGAGCAGAGCTAGCTAACGTTGAGGTACCAGTCACTCACCGAAACCCTTAATCAGTTCTGTGAACACGCCGGGGTCGCTCTCCATCAGACACCACTCTCCTGCGCTGCCAGCCATTATTTACAATGTGTATTCAACCTACGGTGCACATATACGAGATGCTAATATCCTAGCTTAGCAGTGCCCGCTAGTCAAGCTAATTTCAATGAAGCACTGGAGTGACCTCAACGTGATGCCGTGCAAATGTGAGCAATGCGGGTGCACGCGTTTTATTGCACAGCGTATACCGTTAGAGAGTAACATATATTTGACATAATTACTTCAAAACATTGGCAACGAGCAGCATTTTAAGAAAATACACGTACCAACATTTGCAAAGAGAAAAATAAAAACGAATGACCTATTAACTATAAACTAAACATTGCCCTCGTACAAACTAGACACAATACCCGCCCGCCTAAGACGACGGGGATGACAAATTCAGGACTCTTAGTAAAAAACGCAAACAATGGGAGGCTGACGGTGGAGTTTCATTCATATTTATTAATAAAAAAACATTCTTGGCATTAAGAAAACATTTTCGAGTGGTTGTTGTACACACCTCATTCATTTGTACATTCATAACACTGACCAGCATCAAGACTTAAGTTATTACTGTTCACCAAATAAAGACAAACACAGCTTTTGCTGAAATCTCAGAAAAAATGACATCGAAATTACTTCGAAGACAAATTAAAAACAAATGAACATTTCTCACAATTTTGTGTAATGTTCAAATAAATGTGCACATTAAAATGTGGTAATTATACAGATATCTGCAGTTTTTTAAATCTTACAACAAAGAAATTACAATCAAATGAGTATTGAGTCACACAGTCAATACTTCACAACCCAACGATGTTCACAGTTTGATGATGCTTGACGCTGAGAGAGATCATATTTTTCTTTTTATGAATGTAATATACAATAAAACAACCATGCAGATGAGAAGTAGTTCCACAGGTGTCCTTTAAAAGATGGCAACTTTAATAAGCATACTGTACATCCCTGCATGAAAATGTATGGAGCCTAACATCAAGTATCAAAAGCACTTTGAGAAATAAATAACATGCTCAAGCAATGTTTAACTTGTAGCACGAGATCGAGCGAACATTTAGTAAATACAGGATTGAATAAAGCTACAAGAACGGTTAGTCATTTAGCCGCCTCGAACTGCCCGCTGCCCGAGCCGTCGGAGCTGCCGGCAGCACAGCAGGGAGCACACTGTTGGATCAGGGGCAGGAGCTTTCCCTGCTGATGGAGTTGTTTGGTGTCAGAGCCACCCCCGATGCAGTTTCCATTAATGAAGACTCTCGGCACCTGAACACACAAATCAGGTCATAACATCAGTTCTTAGAAAAGAGATGAGGTTCAGTGCAGTTATACATACTTTCTTGTCATAAGCATATTTTAACGGATCAGTATCAACTAAAATAAAGCAAATGAAAACCTTTTCTGTACCGAACTCTCCCGTGTTTTGTCCACCTCTCCTTAATCTACGTATTTGGATCAAGTAGCTCGTGAACAATAAGGCGTGTTAGATGCTGTAGTCTACAACTGTTATTTCAATGTGTCAGACATTGATCAACATTTAGGTAAATTGAAGTATCGGTTTGGACTCAGAATTGTATCGAGGCCCACAAAAACTTGATCGGGACATCCCCAGTTTCAAATGCCTTTCTTTAAATGGTTGGCAGTCCTGTGTTTGTGCTGCATTTTGGCCGTGGAATTTGCAACTTACGTTTGTGAGAAGTGCAATACAAAGAGTTGTTATTTTGATCCGTTTTACTCATCACTTAATTATTTTACTTAACGACAAATCATGTGTTTTAGAACTATGCAACATATTCAAAAGAAATCTAGAATCAAGAGTTAAGCTGTGCTTATTTCAACTTATTATCAACTTCCACAGCCGTCGATGTAGAAGAGGAAGAACACAGCGAGTCAGCACTTAAATAAAATAAAAGCTAAATATGAAATGTGTTAAGGGGTCTTGCATGATTGTGATACATACTGCACGCATACATTTAAGCCTCATTTTGATCTTAAAACAATCTACATATTGTAACTTTCAAACCCTGTTTAGTGTCCTCAGTGTATATTATACAGACTCAATGTACCGGTGACATTTCACTTAACATAGAATTGTACCTATATAGTGTACCTATATATTTTAAGCCTTATAGAAAATGTTCAAATTATCATTACAGATGGTCAGGATAAAATTCCGTAGTCTTAGCTACTGTCCAAAAAACACACTAATCAAGTAATCTAAATGTAACTTAAATGCAGAGCTGCCAGAACAAACAAGCTGCATGTTTTGATTCCTGTCTCCATAGATGCTGAAATCAAATTCACAAAACCCAAATCCCAACAGGAGGCTCTTACCGTTCTGGCACCGGTCATCTGAGCTAAGGCCTTTTGCATTCTCCTCCCGTCATTGTGCTCATCCAGTTCGATCACTTTGTAGGTCGCACCAATTTCATTGAACACATTCTTGGCCATTTTGCAATAAGGACACGTGGTCTTGGAAAATATCACAACACAGTTCTGCGACACCATCTCCTGAAAGGTCACGCAACAAAAAAAAAAAAATAGATTTTATTAAATATCAGTAGAACACAAATAGACTGAACGTACCGGGCCTCAAAGGAGTTGCTAAAGCAAAGCTGAATTATTAAATATTCCCATTATTCATGTTTAATGAGTGAGAAAACTGTAGTGCCACTTCATAACAGATTTTTGACAACAACAAAAAATATATACAGAGTAATATACTGGCGTAAACTGACAGAAGAAGCCATCAAACACAGTTGACTACGAAGCTAAGGCATGCTGGTGGTTACAGATGTTAATGCAAAATGTAACAGACGGAAACAATTAAAAATAGGTTGCAGAGAAATTCACAGCACAAGGCAACAGACCTGTGAGCATCCACTTACCTTAACATACTGTACACAGGATGTGCTGGACAGAGACGGGGAGGATGTAAAGTTCCCCATTCTGAAAAAGACAAAACACAGTATTGGAGAATGCAGTATATCAAGGCATTTGGTGTAAGTTACATCTGAATCTAGTAAAATCTAACTGATATACTCTATAAGGATTGACACTACCGAGGTGGGTTTGCGCAGTAACCTCTGAAACGTGAAGATATCACAGGAAGGGGCCAGTTGAAGGCTAATAGTTAGCATCGCAATGATTTGGAGGATAGCTGCTGGTCTGAAAACACCCATTTCCATTGTTATAGTCGTAGATACAGTTACTGATTTAACCACGTCTCAGATGTAGCGGTTTCACTCAGTGGGACGCCTGGCATACAGTCAGGTTTGTGTGCTAATCCAGGATTAGGAGTGCGTAATTAACTCAGTTTGGATGTTGACATGCGTCTTGCCAAACCCCATTACAAGTCGAGCAATAACAAGACTACACGCCACTGTGAAAGAGAATAACGTCCTAACAGGTGATGAAACGTGACCACCTAACTGTACTTTTGTTTACACTTGATTGGCCCCACAGTACTTGTTTCAGTTGAATCTAAATGTTTGTACTGTCTCCACTAACGCAGGACAGGTAGGAGATGACAGAGATAGCATGGCTTTAGCTAACGTCGACACAAACAGGCATGCCAATAATCAATGTGGACTTTTTTATATGAAATAATCGATTGTTAATAATGACAAGCATGCAGAATTTGCGAGAAGAACGTATTGAATTGTAAAAGTTGTAAGATACTTGCGTTTGGCCCTTTAATACATGTTACATTTAAAATGTTATTAGGTTGTTATGAAACGTTTCTGTTCAGCATGGTTTAAACACTCCGCAGTGAATGAGTTAGCTTCGCCTTTTCGACCGTAAATGGTGTGCAGCGGTGCTGCATTACTGAGGTTAATGGTAGCGGCACGTCTTTATTCGTCTGTGAGGTTAGTTAACACAACTAAAGTTAGCTAACGTCCGCTATCGTTTTAGTCAAGCTAGCCACAATGACCTTCGGCAGCCGGTCCATGCCACCCTGGGAAGACATCCTGCTCGAGCGAACATGGAAAAAAAAGAAACTATGGCTAAAAAATAATCGCGCTGGTGGCCTGGATGAAACATGCGGTTAGTGTACAAACAGTTCTCCAATCACACACCACCCCTGGCTGTTACTGTACGCTTGCTTTTGCCCCTTATTCACACTGTTGACGGCAGAAGCCTACCTTACGTGACCACCGGAAACAGTTGCTGACGCAAGTTTGAAAACGCCCACAGCGTCAACAAAATAAACGACACAGATTGGTAAACTATTGTATTTTAAAGATATAATTTCTGTAAATGAATAGCATCTAGCTCATCAAAACCTATTTAAAAAAAGTGAAATACAAACAATTTTGCCCAGCTCTGATTTGATCGTTTTATTGGCTAATATGATAATTTTTATGACACCATATTCGGTTAATATATGTTGAATTGGACATATTATTATATACTTCAAATAAACACACTATATATATGCAGTATATGTGTGTGTGTCTGTATGTATGTATGTATGTATGTATGTATGTATGTATGTATGTATGTATATATATATATATATATATATATGTATGTATGTATGTATGTATGT